CATGACAGCCGCATCAAACTTTACAGCTGGTCAGCAATTAACACAGAAAACAGAACGAAGCATAATGATGACACCGCCATGAGCTCATTAAGATGAAATGCAATGCAAAAAAAAGATCGTACTCTTTTAGTATTTTGGCGTTGGTTTCCATTATAAAAATTTAAACATGTAAAATCAGAGTTGATTTACTTGAGGAAAATTTAATGTCATTTCGCTTTGAGCCTTCATAGCGCACTCAGTAAAATACTAATCTGAAAAATCATGTTACTGGTTATTAGATATTAAATGAGTTTTTATCTTTTTTTATGGGAAAAAAATAACAATATAGTGATGAAAAAAAAATCTTTGGCCATGTTTGTCAGACTAAATCTAAATTTTATTCCAAGATAACACACGTTAACACATACTGCAGATTTGAAATGAGAATATTTTGTATTTGCTATTATTGTTATTTTTATGATTATTTATTTTTATTATTATTTAATATTACCCTTATTATTATTATTTAGTTTTTATTTCTTTATCATAATTATTTATAATTATAATAATAATAATAATTATTATTATTATTATCATTATTATTATTTTATTATTTACATATTTTATTATTTTTATTATTATCTATCATTTTTATTATTTGTTATTATTATTATTATTATTATTATTATTATGTATTGTAATTATCATGATTATTATTATTGTTATTATTATAATTTTTAATTTATTGTAATTTTTTATTATCATGTTTATTATTATTATTATTATTATTATTATTATTTTATTTTAATTTATTGTTATTCTTGTTGTTGTTATAATTTATTATTTATTTAACTATTTAGTTTTTATTATTATTTATTATTATTATCGTCATCATTAGTTATTATTTCTTATTATTATTTTAGGTATTCTTTATATTTTCATCATTATAATTTTTTTCATTTTATTTGAATTTAATAATTATTATTATCATATTATTATTATATTATTATACAATTTATTGTAATTTTTTTCTTATTATTATTATTTAGCTTTTTTATTGTTATTTTATTATTATTGTTATTATTATACATTTTATTGTGTAAAAATTTATTATTTTATTATTTTTAATATAATTTTATTATTGTTGTTGCTTTTGTTTTTCTAAAAATAATAATAATAATCATATATCTTGTTATATTTTATTATTATTATTTTTAAATTTCTTATTTATTATAAGTATTATTATTAACTCATGTCTAGTGCACTTCACATATCTATTGAAGATATTTGTTCTGGAAAACAAGACAAACATAATCATAACAAAATATTTCAGCACATGACTGCCAGCATTGTCATATCACTATTACTTCTTTCATGCTGATAAAGTATCGCGATTAATAAGCAGGTGTTAGATAGTGAATCACAGAGCGGACCTCATTTACATATAAAAGTCTTAAAGGTACGGTAGCAGACGGACTTGACGAACATTCTGAATGGATTTAAAATAAATCCCGGTGTAGAATAAGAGCTTTTTAATGGATCATTCATCTTGAATGGAGGAGATAATACAGAAGAGCTGTGGTGTGTGTGTGTGTGTGATGGAGGTACAGGAGTGTGTGTTTAAGCTCATGCATTTTAGAGTCTTAACCTTTTTGTTCTGACTAATCAAATCATTGATCATCTGGAGCAAAGTTAATCCCATAATCCTTCATATCAACAGCCAGTGAATCATCCAGTCTTACTGCAATTAAGAACTTCATTGTGTGTGTGTGTGTGTGTGATTCAATATTGATTGTGTGTGAGTGTGTGTAGTATTTAAAAGCCTCTTGATTGGTTGGAGAAGTTTTTACTAAAGCACACAGACAGTAACGGAGGAGTGAACGTTTCCTCTTAGTCCCTTTACTATCACAAACCGGAATGAACCGCCATTTTTACACAGCAGATGCCCTTCCAGCTGCAACCCAGTACTGGGAAACACTCATACACATACATTCACACACACATATACACTATGGTCAATTTAGTTCATCAATTCAAAACCCACGCCAATATGGGGGGAAACATGCAAACTCCTCAAACAAACGCCAACTGACCCAGCCGAGGCTCGAACCAGCGACATTCTTGCTGTGAGGCGACAGCACTACCTACTGCGCCACTGCGTCACCCTTGAATAAATCTTGAATAAATATTTTAATCTCACAGCAAGCATGTGAACTGTAGTGTGTGTGTGTGTGTGTGTGTGTGTGTGTGTGTGTGTGTGTTTGATCATGGTTATTTATTTTAATTTTTAATTTTGTTTCTATATAACCCTCATCCTTTGATAGCTTTGAGTTTCCCTCATCTGATATGTAAAGGGTTAATAGAGAGATCTGTGTGTGTTATTGATGTCTCACACACACGTCATCAGGGTCACATGTTTGATTGACATGTGAAGCCTGAGGTGTTGAATTTTCTTCATCTGAGTGTGTGTGTGTGTGTGTGTGTGTGTGTGTGTGTGTGTGTGTGTGTGTGTGTGTGTGTGTGTGTGTGCGTGCGTGCGTGTGTGTGTGTGTGCGTGTGTGCGCGTGTGTGTGTGTGTGCGTGTGTGTGCGTGTGTGTGCGTGTGTGTGTGTGTGTGTGTATACCACATTGATGGCACATTGAGTGTTCATTTTAGGGTTGAACGATACTGGGAACATATGCAATCTTGTTGTTGAGTGTTCTTCTTATGTTATAGCTTTAAAAAATGCTATTTTATCAGCAATTAAAAAAAAACGTATGTATTATCAGTATTATCATACTAAAATAAACAGGTAATAGATTTATTCTGAGCTTATTACTTAACATTTAGACTTTAAAACAGCAAAAATGACTGGAAACTTCACCGTAAATCCTGATTCTCATTGGCTGGTGTCATTTTCCTCTCTTGTCTCTTGGCATTAGTGTTTATTTTCTGCTTTAGGTTAAGGTTAGGGTTGCTGGAGAGGTGGAGATGAAGATAAATGCCTCATCTGATTGGTCAAATCTGGATAAACAAACACACAAAAATGCTTGGCACATACTTTTAAGAGTGATGACATATTTTTTCAAAACACTCACC